GAGGTCCTAGATTAAGGTTTTTAAACCTCCTCTTATTAAGAGGTCCTTTAAAGCAACTAGTATATACCTACCTAACCTAGCGGTTGTACTTAACAAGTTTGCTAAGGAGGGGTTAGATTTAGAAGCTAGTTCAACCTCTGTACTCTCTGAGGAGGATTAGCTCAAGCTAAAGTCAATTGTACGTCGTAAGGTAAGGGATTAGAGCAGCAAGGGCGTCAAGAAGCTTTAGCGAAGTTTACACCACCTTGCAGCTTAAAATACACTCCTTTACAGCAAACTTAAAGGCCTTAGGCAGTTCCTAGCTATTAAGAAGAGGCGGGAAACTAAATTATATACCCTACAGCTTGAGGATTATCCTAAGTATCATAGTAGAGCTGTTTGGTAGTTACTAACAAGCGTTAAACGAGCTCGCGATTACAAGATACAACAACAACAACAAGCTAAGCTTAAAAAGCTTTAAAAAGCTAAGCAAGCCAAGATTAAGAAGGCAGCTTGCGATTGTAAGGCTTAACTCAAAGCTGTAAAGCGTGTAGAGCGGGAGAGACAGGCGGAGGAGAAGAGGAAGGAGGAGGCTAAAAAGCTAGCGAAGAAACAACACCAACAGCTTATTAACAACACTAAAAAGCTTATAAAACTTTCCTAAAATAGTAAGCGCAAGGCTTTACAACCCTATACGCCAGCTACAAAGCGTTAAAAGCGTAGTAGTGTTACTCCAGCTGTAGTAGGAGCCGCAAGGGTTGCACGAGCTGCTCTACCGCGTAGTTGCTGTAATCGCGTAATAACGCCCTCTAAAAGATTATCTGAATAAGCTAAATTTCTTGTAGGCCTGTATTTAGTATAATTCTAGCTTTGCGCAATTTTATTACGATTTGTGGTGGCTCTACAACCTTATCTTTTTGACTATATTGAGTTGTTAGGGGTGATTATTTGGCGTTAGTGATCATCTGGCGCACGGGCACTGTAGAGACAAATGGCAACGCGGTGACTTTCACTGAGATGCTCCATACCAGACGAGAATCATTGACTGAAATCTTTGGGTAAATTAGCTATCAAGGATACGTATGAGACGTTCAGCTGACTTCCTTACAGTACGTGTTTCTGCTTTGCTACCTGCATTCGGTCGGATCGGATGAATCGGTGGTAACGTCTGTCGCTCTGCTACCTATGTAAACCACGAGAAGACAGTGCACGAGATCGTCTCACCCGTTGAGGAGCAAAGCTACAAGTGAAACCATTGCGCGTCGTCCTTGCATTCCAAACCCGTACTAACAACCTTGTAGGTCGCCATTGGAGCTCTGTTTTCCAAGAGCTGCGTCGCCGAACAGAAAAGATTTCAGGATGTCGGAAGATCATACTTCTAGAGAACGCGATAATACTGGATTCTAATCGCCTTGATACCCGACCTTTAGGATCCTTCTATGAAGGTTTTGGCGCGTTGAGTAGCTTGCCCATCGCACAACCACTTCCCAGCTACAACCTTCCGTTCCTGCATCCTAGTCCAGACACGTTCCACACTCTGGAAGGCTCGCCAGATGGCCAGGACCCTGTCTCGAAGTTGAAGAAAGACCGTGAGGATAGGTTAGCGAAGATGCTAAAGGCCGAGCGCGACTTGCAAGAGCGCAACGAGCGACATCTGGATAGTATACTGGGTGCAGAGTTGAGCCGAGTCTATTCAGAGTACATGAGACACCACGGCACTGAGAAAGAGCCCGAACAGTCAGAGACATATCGAGAGCAGCACTTCGTAGATGCTCACATCTCGGTACACAAAAAGAATCCGAAACAATCATCCTTCAGAATCGAGTCATTGGATCGATTCTTGGCGCATAGCCCGGATGACGCTACAGGCGACGACAGCGACGCAGAAGACGAAGAAAGCGATCATGTAAGCGGCACTATTCTATCGAGACTGTTCCCAATTATCAGCCGCAAGATGTGCGAGCACTGTTGCACCGAACACACGACTGTTCCTCCGTCGGTACCTGTTCCAACTTCGCTATGGTGGAAGGACTCGCGCAAGATCCCCGATGATTGCCCGATTTGTCACAAGATATTATTTCACAAAGATCATCTTTTCCAGCCGTCGCGCACTCCAGATTGCGAGATTACAGGCCCGGGTGACTACGTTGGCAAAATCGGAGATAAAAAGGTGATCTAGGCAAGTGATGTGCGCCCGCTGCATAGCTTATCGGACGACGCTCGAGTTCGGTCAACCATGCTGATTTATCGCAATCGCCTGGAAAATTGATGCAGGCAGGAACAGAGACAGGCTTTGCTCATGCCAAATATAGGATTCTTGAATAAAGTAATCTCAAAGCTGTGCGCTGACGCTGGCTACAAATACAAAGATCGCTACTAGTACTGTGTAGATATATCTGTTCTCAATACGCGTAAACCTGGATACCTATCATACATGGCCTTTGTTCTGCTGGACTTCTTTGACATTGATGTTCCTCCACGTCAACGGTCCGATAATCCCTACAACCGAGATAGCAGTACTAGCTAACAGAAGTCGAAGCATCGCATCTTCGTACGCATGCTGGATAGCAAGGCGTGTTAGAGATTTCATAGGGTAAGATAGTTGAGTCGTTATCTCGCCGAAGATCTTATTGAGGTTCGGTAGTTCTTCAGAAGGTAGGTATCGCACCAGTCGATCCGGCACTATGTCAGACCATATGAATGCCGCAATTGTCATACCGATGCCACCACCGATGTTCCCAAAGATACTTACGATTGCGAGCATCGCGGCGACATGTTCGTGCGAACCAGCAGCTAGCATAGCGATCTCGTCCGTGACAACGAGAACGCCTTGCGAGATTGAAATGAAGAGGAAGCACATGATGATATATCCGATGTTACTGGATGTGCGAAAGTACATCATGAAACCCTGACCCAATAGACTTAGCGGGAAACCGACGACTAATGATGTGGTCTTGAAATGGCCGGTTCGATGAATCATGTATCCAGTTGAGACGGCGACTAGTACACTCACAACGGTGTACAGCTGCGCAACGTAACTCGCTTCCTCCACGCTGAGTCCCTGAACAACTTGCAGGTAAGAGCCGAAATAGCTGTTCCATACGGCGTAACTTGCGAAAAGACAAGCGCATAGTAAACATGCGCCAAATACGGTTCGGTCCAAGAGTAGCCTGTATGGAAGGCACCGGAGAGATGCGAAAGACTTCTCCCATACAGCGAATGCCGATAGAAGTAGAACGCCGAGCAGGATCACGCCAACTGTGAGCGGCGAAGACCAAACTTTGCCCGTCAAAGCATACAAGTTAAACGGAAGAAGAAAAAGCGCGATTCCTGTAGAAGCGAGCACCAAGCCAACAGCATTGAACTCCCGACTGTAGTATATCATCAACTCCCAAGGATTCCGCTCACAGTCCTCTTTTGTGACTCTGATAAGTCCCAGTTTCCTCGCTTTTCGATGGTTCACCACAAGTAAACCCAGCAGCGGCAGCGTGACAAGCGGAACAAGCGCGCTGAATGAACCAAATGCCCACCGCCATCCCATGCCGCGAAGATATGCTTGCGCCAAAGGGCCAGCTACCCAGCCTGTAATCAGGCTAGTTGAGTTCATAAGCGCCTGCACCAGCGCTCTGTTCTCCAACTTCGTCGTATCGGCAATGAGAACAGACAAGATATACTGCACACCATTGTTTCCCAAGGTATGAAAGACCATGGCCGCAGCATACGTGCCTATGCCGTCACACACCATCATCATGACCAACCCGCTTGATCCTGTGATAAGGCAGAATAGCAAGCCATAAGGTCGCCCAAAGATATCGATGATCTTCGCGATAGATAGTGTGATAGCACCGCCGAGGATATTGCTTAGTATGCTAACAGTGGGTGTGAAAGCGTGCATAGAAAAGGCTGATGTGACGTATGGAACCAAGGCTAACGTGATGCCGGCGAGCAATGTTTCGACAAAGTAGATGAGCCAAATCATTATGTACACTGCTGTAAGAGAGAAGTTTGACCATGCTTGTGTTGTCGCTTCCATTGCTTGAACGCCTGGGTGGGATTCGACCACTCGACGCGCATGGTCTATTGGTGGACTCATTGGACAACACCCAGAGTGTATTTGGGTAGTGCATCTGAGGTCCTCTGCATCGGTAGATAAGAACAAGGTTGGCGAAAGTAAAGGTTCTTGGATGGATGGACGAGAAGGATGCATAGCAGCAGATGGGGATCGAGAAATAGCCGAGAGGGTGACAACGGTGGTGGTGGTGTGTGCTGTCTCTTTCTGTCTTATCTCATATAACGCTGTGAGAGACGAATGTACAACTGTATCAAGGTGAGGACATTGTTAAGCGAGGGTCCCATAGCGGCTGACACCGAGATACCGAATCGACAACAGCTGAGCAAGCAAAAAGAAAAACCTGGCACAATTGCGCTAAGCATTTTTCGAATTCTCACCGAGCGTGAGAAAGGATCTGACATGTTATGAGACTAGTGTCGGGTTAGAGAGCACTTTTGCGATGATTATGGCTTGAGGCCCTGCACCTTGCTAGTGCACAACCGTGGGGGTACCGAATGCAGGGCTGACGCGCTTATGTAGGATGGCTCGTCCTGCACCTTACCTAACCGCATGATTTACCAATCGGTGTTATCGTTCTAGGGATCTATATCGGCTGCCGCTAAGTATTGCGCAGCAGCGTGGATCTTACTATTCAGTAGAACGACTAACCAGAAAAGGCAGCTAAGTGACACTATGCCGTACGTCTTACTGTCTTCCGAGCCATCAGGTCTAATTGTAGCTGTCGTCCTGTCTACTCTCTTAGAGTATTGTTTCCCTAACAAGCTTCTTTTCTCTTGATGCTTAGAATGAATACAGCTATTTGCTAACCTAGACTGCAATGCGCTAGAGGGCGGTATATCTACTAACTTCTGGACCTCCCGGTAGCCAAGGTGTTGTCAGAACCTAAGTTTCCAGTCCCCGTCTCTTTACAGTTATCTACACAAAGGAAACCGTCAACAGTCTAAAGACCATGGATAGTGTGCGCGGGCTTCCCGTGCTACGGTTATTGGGTACGAAGCGTCTATGCGGCAGGCATAACCCCCCACCAAAGCTTACCATGCTTAGGAAAATCCGAACAGCTTTCCGCTGTTTCTCACGAACTAGGATTCTTCATAAATGTGGGAGTATCTGCTCACTACTCTCTCACTACTGTTACTACTCTACCCGAGCTGCAGTCAATCATCTACGCCGCATTGTCACGTGTCATTCACAGGAACTCCATCCTATCCGCCATACCAGTCGACGAAGTATCTCCAGGCGCCTACTTCGTTCGTTTGCAGTCTCTCGATCTTCGTACCTGCGTACTTTTCAAGACTCGAGCTAGCTCGATTGAACAGAGCAACCAAGACCATGAGCTCGACACAATTCTCCAGGAGGAACACAATACTGACTTCAAGCCTTCCCGTGATGCCCTGCCTTTCTGGCGACTGACTATCCTGCAAGATGCTGTTGAAGAAAAGGGGTGTGGTTTCACCGCATCCTTTGTCTTTCATCATAGTCTTGGCGATGGCGCAACGGGAGTCATATTCCACCAATCGTTCCACCAGGCACTTGAGAGTGCTCTCATGCTACCGTCTCTGGAACCAAACAGCTCGACAATACGGGTGTCTGAAAGTTCGACTCTTCTGCCGCCACTATAAGATCTGCATCCACTGCCATTGAATCCAAACCCACCTCATCACCGCTCGTCGGGTGAGGAGCTGGAAGAGTGGACAGGAGATCCCATCCAACTACCAATGACGTCGCATTACCGAACAATGTTCTTTTCACCAACAGCTTCAGCAAAGTTTGCGCAAAAGTGCAAAGAGAATGGTCTCACAGTGACGTCCGGCTTAACCGCCGTATTGGCCGGCGCGTTGTTCGAGCAGCTTCCAGATACTGTTCGCGCCCTCACAGGTATTATACCGATCAACCTTCGTCCATGGCTCAGCCTCCACCATAACTACAGCCCCGCGAACGAAGCAATGGGCAGTTTCATCGATGCATTGAAAGTACAGATCCGTCGCGAGCATTACTCCTTCCCCACCGACAGCGATGAACACACAGGAGCTACACGCGGAATCGTGGCCGCGCGTCATACAGCAGAATCAATTAAAGGTTACATGGGTACCAAGAGTCCGAGTGGTGAGCCATATACTTCGATCGCTGCATTCGAAGGTATACACGACATAGCTGCGGTCTTCAAGTCTATGGTCAACACGCCCCGCGATGCGGCATTCGAGATCTCGAACCTTGGCCGCTTCCCACCAGCGTCTTCCCCGTCCTTTGACGTTCCTGATAGTGCTTGTGAAGATCGGTGCCGTATCGGACGCATGACCTTCAGTCGTAGTGCCGTTGGCTTCGGCGCTGCGATCACAACGAGTGTTGTGATGGGGAACGATGGTGTCTTGAGTGTGGGGTGGAGTTGGCAAGAGGGAGTGGTAGGGGCAAAGCTTGTGGAAAGTGTTATGGAGAGCTTCAGGAAGGCCGTTAAGGGTGGCGTTCATTTTTGAGGGAAAGTGATAGGGTCAATTAAACCTTGAAATGTAGCAGAGGAATGAAAAGTCACGTTCGACCCCCCGGAACAGTTTTGAGGAAACTGTTACCTACCCACTGAGTAGTCATTCCTGCAAGACGAGATCGCGTAATGCGCAAGTCGAGACGACGTCTCCATGCCAGCATTCGGTCATCATCCCCCGCATGATCAATGTCCTGCGGCGATCTGCTTTTGTTCCAGGCGCGACGCGCAGTCATTTTAGCGCATACTATCAATTCGCTCAATTTGACGCAATTGAGTTGTACATGTACAGCGGGTAGACTAAGACAAGTGATCTTGGCGTAAGATAAACCCGAAAAGCTACATGGCAGTTGGTGGCCTACATGCGCACGCGCGGAGACGAGCCTACAAGAGCATAAGTATAGACTAGGCAGCCTGATCCGCGCAGAAGGCTGAGGCCATTGTCACGCATCGGGTTAGTCGCCCAACACTGCCAAGATATCATCTCGCCCACTCGAAATTCTGACATCTGATCCCCACGGCTGGGACAAACGATTTGCAAACGCGAGATGCTTACAATGGCTCACCGGTGTATTGATGTGGTCATGGAGCAAGATCACAATTCGGGGCGTGCACCTCGTCTTACTTCGCACGGAATCTTAAATGCGTTATTGCACGGCTATGTTAAGCAAGCGGACTAGCGATATATGCAGGGTAGCCGAAAAAGCGTTCTGAGGTTGTATAGCGGTAAGTCTGCTACATGATGGCAACTTGTATCGCACAATCTATAGCCGCAATGTGGGGGAGAATTGGATGTATATGGTGTGCATAGGTCGGCTTATGCTACCAAGCTGAGATGGCATGGTGAAATGTATAAGGATTAGTAACGATTGATCTCTTTTATGAGGAGGAAAGCTCGTTACGAGGACTGCGCGAAACAGAGCAACACAATGCCTCTTGAACCAGCTCAGTTGGTGCAATTCCATTAGATGACTTGGACCTACAGTACATGATTTAGAAGCGTAGTTTGGTGATTCTGAATGGATGACATGTAGGCGACCCGTCACATCAGTCTCGGTACACGGCATGCCACCAACAGAGCAGCTCATGCCGTGCCCCCATCAGTCCTAAGAATAACCAGCATCCTGCTCAACCAACCCTTTTTCGCCGCAATTGCAGCTCCAACAACAGGCACCCCAGGGTTATCAACAGCATCGAACAAATGCGTTCCACCTGGCCAAACATGTAACTCGCATGAGCTTCCGCACCGCCACATATTCAACGCATATGCGACAGCCGGATCACGGAAGACCTCGCATTCAGCCGCGTCGATGTAAGCCTGAGGTAAGTTGGTCAGATCTGTAGCTCGGGAGGGCGCTTGGTACATGGTGACTGTACTGGTGCCGCGCTGACCTGCAAGGGCGTGGTTCCAGGCCGCGCGGTTTGTGATGCCGTTCCATGGCACGCCGTATTCGAATTGTGCGTCCGAGACGCTGTTGCATCGATCATCTAGCATAGGCGAGAGTAACATCTGCGCCTTGATAGGCACAATAGGAACTTTCCTATCGCGGGCTAAGAGGCAGGCGGAGGCAGCGAGAGGGGCACCCCCAGAGGACCCGCAGACGACTATAGCTGCAGGATCGATGCCTAGGCTCATGGCGTTTGTGGAGAGCCAGACGAGTGCTTCATAGCAGTCTTCAGCTCCTCCTGGTGCGGGCGTCTCGGGCGCAAGCCGGTATTCGACTGAGACGACGATGCACGGTATGTCTTGGACGACATCTATTAGTTGTGCGACGGCGCTGAAGCGATCGCCTGAGATCATACCGCCTCCATGGATGTAAAACAAGGCTGGTAGCGCGCTAGACGAAGCCAGTGGTGCGAAAATGGATAAGGCAATGCTGTGACCACTAGGGCTAGTGATGACATGGTGAGTATGCGTCAGGTGCGGATTGGCGTTCAGGATTGGCTCTGGACTTCCCCCAACATCTAGACCACGGAGGAAAGAGATTTCCAACTCTTCTGGTAGGATGACTGAGTCGATGATGGGTGCTAGCTTAGGGTCGATAGGCGGCCTGGGGATTGTAATGCGCGGGTCTAGCTCGGCGGCCTGCGAGTACGGGTACGGGTAGGCCGAAGACTCGGACATGATGGCCGGTGAAGGTTCGTTAGCGAGACACATTTAGACATGGCTTTGCTTGCGTAAATGTACTGGACGCTTGCGGCCATTGTTGAGGTGTTGTGCTGACAGTAAGCATGAGTCGCGGGTAGAATTCTCCAACCGAGGTGAGGTCAAGGGTGCTAACGGCCCGCTCCACATCACAGGGCGTACCAGGCGGCAGGGCATATTATCCGCCGCTGCGGGCGTCGTTCCGACGCAACGCCAACGTCCCACGCACCAGGCTCTCACTACACGCGATGCAGTCCATCCCACGCGTTCTTTGAAAGTCAACGTTTTCTTCCACATCAGGCGTCCTGCCGTGTCAACCCCCTACTTGAACAAGCGCGTCTTTCGATGAGCATATTTGCGAATGAGCACGTTTTCTGTGAGCACGTTTCGATTAGCAACTGCCCTTATTAGTAAAGTCCAGCAACGGATCTTGCGGCTTGGAGCATCGTAGTCGTGCAAACATCCTCGTCCTTAACCTTATTCGGAGACATATTCCGTGACCAACAAACAGCCACCCTCATCGAAATCCCGGTCGCGCCTACTTTCTGAGCTCGAGTGGGGACGATCTATGGTATGATTCATTGCAGCACCGAGGCTGTGGCGGTAGTAACGATCAATCGCATGAAAGGATAGTACGAAGATTGGCACGCAGTCTGGATGTTGTCAGCATGGGATGATCTGATCATAAGAGTTCCAGATATCATAGTCAGCCCGCGCTGCTACAATGCTTACCCGCTCTTCTTGGCTCCGAAATGTTCCTCAAATCAAGTCATTCTCGGCATACATGCGTATCATCGAGGTGCGGCTGAAGGCGGTATATTGTGACATCGCATAAGCATTGGGATGCTGCTTGGTGTGCCCTTCTTCGATCAAGGAGGCTTCCAGCGGTGAGCGGCTATTTGCCCTTGTTGGTTCTGGCCAGCTAGGGGCCACGAGCAGAACGACTGGGCTGTAAATTTGACTGAACGAACGCCTTCCGTGACGGTACGCATACTGAAGTACGTCAATGACGGGGAAAGTCGAGTTGCTGTCGAATCCGTTAGCATCTGGACAACGTGGCTTTTCACGCACACAGATGTGGGAACCACATTGAACACCCCGTCACCTGAGAGGCACTGCCCGAACTCGCAGCATCTGTTGTTGACCACGATCAAAGGATGAGCATGCTTGCGTATACAGCCAAGTACGTGGCTGCGCGAGTGCGCGACGGGAAGACGTCTTGGCTATGGAACACGACAAGTAGGTTTCACAGTGGCGCGAACGCTAACTATCACATGGCCCTTGGCCCGTGTTGGTTCCAACTTAGCCTCTGCTTACTTCCCGTCACAGTTCGACCTCACTCATTCCACATTCTAGTCTCCGCTTGCACATGGAACGGCGCATGGATTACGACTCTTTCCAGAAACACTACCTTGAAGCGGGATGGCTTGGCCGATACGCATTGGTTGCTGACTGTAAAGTCTCGGATTCCAGCTGGTCTCGCAAGCTTCGACTGCGTCAGTGGAACAGTTGCCCTCTAAGAGCTAAGCAGGCTGCCGCTGCCATGACTCGAACTACGCGCTGACTGTATGTCACCTGGAATGAGGCAACTCCGTAAAAGTTGTCCCGCCCCGAACAACCTCATATTACCTCAGCCACCCCTGCAATGTCGATGCTCTGCTTCTATTCGAGTACCGTTACCGGCATTACAGTCACTTCGTGATTTCAGTCAGCGCTGGCTTGACCCGATAATACGTGTGGCGCTTGTTTCTCACCTGCTGAAGTGACCGTGCCTGAGCCATCTAGATTCCAGCAGCTTTATAGAGTTGACTTCTGGACTCGAGCAAAGTTTCACTCATCATTCCAACGTTGCAATCCCTCCCATGTCTCACTAGTCCTGGACGACATGACGATGCGTCTAAACGGCTTGACTAGCAACAACCCCGCTGGACTTGGAATAACGCTGCCATGCGATGATTCGGCGGTTGCCAGCGTTCCTTCCGGCACGGAAGACACATCGAACAAGATTCTCGAAATCATATATGAGCATGCTCTCAACAAGTTCGCTGATTCGAAAGAGCGCCTAGCTGCGGGGACGGTGAAATTCCTTACCGTGATCGACCGCTTCGTCCAAGCAGGCGAACGTGTCGAGACATGTTTACCGGCCTTTCCTTTCAAGTCGGCCAACAAGGTTTACAAAGTGCTCGGATCTCTACCAGATAAGGCGGAGGAACTAGCACTTCAACGGCTGAACCACATGTGCGCAAGGATAGAGGATGTCTATAAGCCCGGAGCGAGAGTCACTATCATCTCAGATGGCATAACCTACAATGGTACGTAAACTCACTGTCAACAGTCATGACCTAGACTAACGAGTATTAGATCTTCTCTCGATATCAGATCGTGAGACATGGGCTTATGGCGAGGCTCTGCGTCGGATGTCGACGGAAAAGAAATTCACATACATCGCCTTCTCTCGACTGAAAGACATACTCGATTTCCCAGACCTGCCGGACAAGCTGCGAGAGATAACATATGTCGCCAATTGCACGAACTTCAGACGCCTACTTCTCAACAAGTACGAGAGTCCTGATATCGATATCGACAAGGAGATCAGAGAACATGCAGACACGAGATTGACTTATCTCGGTTACCGGAAGTTTCTTGAGTCTGATCTGAAGCACATATTCGCGCTCGGAGAGAATCGCGGCAGCAATCAGTATAAGAGAGACGTCAAGTATCTCGCGAAACAGATGCTATACAGAGGATATGTAAGTTCTCCGACAATTCATTTGCCCAATGATTTTACCTCTCTGTAAACTGACAATATGGATAGGCATATGCTGGAGCTGTTAAAGAAGCGTACCCTCATCACCTTAGACTCTCGATACACGAATCGATAGGCGATCACAAGATATCGATTAGTCTGCTGGACACGAAAACAGGTTACACAACGCCATGGCATTGCAGTGTGGCCTTGCTGGCCAACGGAGACTGGGTGAGCGCACCTGCGGGTGAGTTCCGAAAGGACTCGCGGCTCGAGCTCATTCACGAGAACGGACAGCCCAGCCACTTTAAAGAGAAAAGACTGCAGGAATCTGATATGCCGTGGATCACTGAGACAAACGCCAGCTATCTACAAGCTCGGACGCCCTTCAATGGTACACGAAGTGGCTATTCCTCGCCCAGTGCGACGTCTATCGTCAGTGGCATGTCGACGCCACCGACATCCTTTGGGACATCTCCCCCACGTTCATCACACTCTCCGTCGTACTTTTCTCCCAACACAAAACTTCCAGAGACGCCACACATGAATGGCATTGGAAGTGAGCCAGCTTATGGTCGCCGGCTCATACCCCAGATCATGGACCAACTCGCTAGAAATCAACCGGACCAAATCGTTTTCTCGATTGCCAAACCCTCAGATGCAGGCCTTGAACTGCGGGATATATCAGCGCATACTTTCGCGAAAGCAGTAGACAAGACAGCATGGTGGCTTCATCACCAGGTCGGCGAGTCGTCATCGGTGCGACCTGTGGGCTACATCGGCCCTCACGACCTTCGGCACATCCTGATCACCTATGCCTGTGTGAAGGTTGGCTACGCTGCGCTCTATCTTTCGCCCAAGAACAGCACAGAGGGTGCTCTATCTGTGCTAAAAGCAACAGAGTGTGATATTTGGGCTAAGGCACGCGAAGTGGAAGCAGCTCCTCTTGTAGAGGACATCCTAGAGAAACGCCCGATGAAGTTGCTCGAGCTACCATTACTCGACGAGCTTCTGGATGCGGAAGATGTCGAATACTACCCTTACATCAAGGCTTTTGCCGCAGCTGCTACAGACCCTTTCTGTTATCTTCACACCTCCGGTTCGACGGGCGTACCAAAACCGATCCCGTGGACTCACGGATTGATCGGCACGATGGATGCAACACGCTTACTTCCACATGTTGATGGCGACGATGGATTAGTGCCGTGGACGTCGGACTGGAAAGAGGGAGACCGGATTTACTCCTCTTTTCCCATGTGCCACGGTGCTGGGATCATCATGGATATACTCTTGCCAGCTCTTTTCGGTCTGACCTGCGTATTAGGTCCTGAGAGCACTATCCCCAACATCTCACTTCTAGAGACTCTTGCCGATCATGCCAAGATCGACATCTGGAGCATGGTACCATCGCTTGTCGATGAGCTAGGAGAGACGCCTGATGTTTTGGCTAAATTCCAGTCTTCCAAGTTCATCTGTGCGTCAGGTGGGCCGGTCAGCCCTATCAGCGCTGGCAAAGTCAACCATATCGTCAGAGTGCTAAACTTGACCGGAACAACAGAGGGTCTTTTTATCGGCAATCTCGTCGTGAAGAGAGAGGATTGGTTCTGGTTCGCTTTCCATCCTTACTCCGGGTTCGAGTTCAAGGAAGTGGAGCCGGGTATCTATGAGCACTGGGTCCACCGTAATGAACATGCATCCCTGTTCCAGGGCATCTTCCATACATTTCCAGATAAGGACGCCATCAACTTCAAGGACCTGTATAAGCGGCATCCAAACAAGCCCAATCTCTGGGCTTTTACTGGTCGTAACGACGATCTCATTGTTCTTTCTAGTGGGTACAAGATTCTGCCTTTGGAGTTTGAAGCACTTGTCAGTACTCATCCCGCAATTGACGGATGTCTCGTCATAGGCAGCAACAAGCTGCAGGCTGGTCTTCTCATCGAGTTGAAAGACCAAGTAGCCAAGACCGACGACATGATGGAGAGTATATGGGCTAAGATTGAGGATAGCGTCCTGTCCTCACGACAAACCGTACGTCTATCCCGTGACTATATCTGCTTTGCACAGCCAGACAAACCCTTCGTTCGAACAGACAAAGGGACGGTCAAGCGACGAGCTACCTTACTGCTTTACGAAGACTACATCGAGCGATTCTATAGCACTCGCAGTACTGAGACTTCTTTCGTTGTCAATATCAGCTCTGCATCGACAATGCAGAGGTCAGTGCGTGAGA